ACACACACACACACACACACACAGCCTGGATCCTTCTTTCCTCAGGTCTCTGCTTCCCTGAAGGCTGTGTGAACCTGCCCTCCCACCACAGCCCATCCCTCCCCACTGCCCTCACCCTGCTGTAGTTTGTGGTTTGACCCCGTAAGAGTGGCTGGGTGGCCTGGTCTCTAACTTCCCAAAGGGGAAGGAAAGTCGAAATCAACAGCCTCAGGCTGTTGAATTCTTAGAGGCAAAGGTCAGCACGCTTCCACCCTCCAGCTTTCCTGTCTCTGTCACCAGTGAGGACATCCTCTCACAGTACTCCCACCCCCTCTGCGGGACCAGTCATTCGCTGCAGTGATCGCATGGAGCTCCCAGCAAGTCCACGCGATTCTGGGGTTGGTCAGGGAGTGTTGTTATTAGGTGCCGTCAAGCCGGTTCTGATTCGGTGACCCTATATGAACGATGGAAAAAACACTGCTCGGTCCTGTGCCAGCCTCGCAGCTGCTGTTCCGTGTGAGCCCGTTATTAACAACCCCTGTTGCGGCCCACCAATTTGAGGGTCTTCCTCTAGTTTGCTGACCAGCTGCTTTACCCATGCCTGATGTCCTTTCCAAGGATCGGTGCTGTGGATGGCGTGTCCAGAGTATGCGCTGCCGTCTTGTCATGCCTCACGTCGAAGGAGTATTCCTGCTGGACTTCTTCCCAGGCAGACTGGTTCTTCTCTACAAGTCCTTGGTCTGTTCCGTGTTCTCCGCCAACCCGAGGTCAAGTGTATCAGCAGTTCCGTCTGCCTTGTTCATTGCCCAGCTTTCCCATCAAAATGACCGGGGCGTGAGTCAGGTCCGCCCGTGTCTTCAACGGGACGGACGGGGTTGCTTTTGAGCCCTTTAAAGAAGTCTTTTGCCCCAGATTTGGCTTCCTGGCTGCTGCTTCCATGGATGTGGATTTTAAATCCAAGCAGAATGAAGCTCTTGACAACTCCATTTTCCCCCCCTCTACTTATATTGCCAACTCGACCCATTGTGGGGAGTTTTATTTTCTTTCGATTGAGGAGTGGCCCCTCCGGAAGGCTGTCTTCTTTGTCCTTATCAGTAAGCGCTTCAAGCCCTCTGCACTTCCAGCGAGCAGAGTGCTGTCGCCTGCATAGCACAGGATGCCTGTGAGACTTCTTCCGGCCCCATGCCCTCCTCTTCATGCAGTCCAGTGTCCCAGCTTACTGACTCCGTCCGTGTGCAGCCCCATTACATATCGTGACAGGACACAGCCCGGGCACACACCTCTTCTGATTGTAAACCACACAGGCTCCCCTTGTTCTGTTTGGACAAATGCCTCTTAATCTCTTTATTGGTTCTGCATGAGCACAATGAAGTTGTTCTGCAATTCCTATTCCTTACAAGGCTATCCATGACTACTCATGATCGACACAGTAGAATGCCTTTGCGTCCTCAGTGCAACACAGGTCAACATCTTTCTGGTCGTCTGTGCTTCCAGCCAAGAGGCAGCGGATGTCAGCAGGCATAAACCTCGTGCCGCACCCCCTTCCGAATCCAGCTTGTATTTCTGGCTGCTGCCAGTTCATGCACTGCTGGGCGATCACCAGCAAATTTATGTGTGCCATGTTAACGCTAGCGGCCAATAATTCCTGTCTTCTGTGGGTTGACCTTTGGAATGGGCAGGAATCTCTTTCAGTCGTTTGGCCAGGCAGCTGTCGTCCAGGTTTCTTGGCCTAGATGTGTGCGTCCCTCCACTGCTGCATCGATTTGTTGAAGTGTCTCAATTAGGGTTCCATCGGTTTCTGGAGCCCTGTTTTTCACCAGTGTCCTCAGTCAGTGCAGCTTGGACTTCTTTCTCGTGACTCTTGGTTCTTCGTCGCATGCCGTCTCCCGAAAGGATGAAATGTCGGCTTGTGCATTTTGGTGCAGCGGCTGTGTGCGGCCTCCTCCTCTGGATGCTTCCTGCAGCATTCAGTGTTTTTTGCCCATAGAATCCTTCAACATTGCAACTCGAGGCCTGACACTTTCCTTCCGTTCTTTCAGTTGGATGACTGCCGAGCTCGTTCTCACGTTTGGGTTTCTAACCCCAGACCTTTGCACGTTTCCTTTAATACCCTACTCTGTCTTCTTGAGCCGCTCATTGAAATCTTCTGATTAGCTCGTTACCTTGCCCGCCGTCCTGTTTGCCATAGTTAGTCTTCATTTAATAGTCTCTCCTGACAGCCACTTTGATCTTTTCTTTCTCTCCTGTTGTTTGAATGCCCTTTGCTCTCTCCATGTGTGACGTTCTTGATGCCACCCCCCCACCCCCCACACCCCCCCAGCCCCGACTTGTGAGGTCTTTGGTCATTAGTGCATCAACTCTGTTCCTATCTCTGAATTCAGGCGGGGTCTACTCCAGGTCCTATTGCGGCTCTTAGGGATCTGTTTTCATTTTCTTCATCTTTACCTTGAAATTGCCAATGAGCCCTTGGTGGCCTGCTCTGCAGCGGGCCTCCGGCCTTGTTTTGACTGGTGATGTTGACCTTCTCCACAGTCTCTTCCTGCAGATGCCATCGGTTTGATTCCCGTGTGGTCCATCTGACAGAAGTTGAAAGCAGTTATTTGCAGTGAATAAATCCGTGGTCCTTCAAATCCTGTCCTGGGCTTCTCAGAGTAATTTCTCTTTCCTCCTACAACACCAGCTTCTCTTGATTGCACGTGTGATCAATTTCGGGCTGCAGAAGTTGGTGAAAATCGTCAAATTCCTTGTCATCGTCATCAGTGGTGGGTCTATAAATTTGAATCACAGTTGTGTTAACTGCTCTTCCTTGTAGGGATGGGGGATATTGTCTTATTACCGATAACGTACTTAAGGATATTTTTGGAAATGTTCTTTTTCACGATGAATGCCATTCCTCTTCAACTGGACATTCCTGCCATTGAAGACTTTACGGTTGTCTGGTTCAAAATGGCTAAATCCGCACCCGTTTCAGCTGACTCGCGCTTATAATTTGAACTGGGGCTGGGCCCAACATCGTGAAGGTCCTGCGGACAAACACCTTTGACCGGGAAGAAGCGCAACCAGAATGCGCCTCAGAGGCAAGGGCGGTGCGACTGTGTCTCACCTGCGCTGGGCACGTTGTCAGGAGAGACCAGTCTCTGAAGGACATCCTGCTTGGTGCGGGGCAGGGGCGGCAAAGAAGAGGAAGGCTCTCGACCGGGTGGATTGGCTTAGTGGCTGCAACAGTGGGCGCAGACAGGACCGCCGTGGAGCGGTGGCCCAGGGCTGAGCAGGCTCCGTTGCACACAGGGTGGTTCTCGGTGGGAACTGGCTCAGGGCATCTCACAGTAAGAGTAATGCTTACAGCAGCGGTCTTCAGATCGTCCACTTCACGTTTAGATGGCGGTTTTCCTAGATGCGTGCTTTACACTCTGCGTGTTTGTATTATGAGCGAGTGTTTGCAGCCGCCCCATCAGCGCGCGAAGGTTCTGCCAGCTCTCCTCCGTCCACGCCCTCCAGGTCGCCTCCGCTCTGAGACGGCAGCTCTTGCCCAGTCCTATTTTCGGTGCCTCAGAGGAGTCCCTCGTCTGGCACTAGGTCAGTGTTCGGTGCTCTTCAGAAGGTGCTCAGTGGCTCCTTTTTATGCAGACGTGGGTCATCTTCCTAGTCTGTGTTAGTCTGGAAGCTCCACGGAAAACCGTCCACCGTGCGTAGGCCTGCTGGTGCTTGACATACCAGTGGCAAAGCTGCCAGCATCACAGCAACATCGGTGCCACCACAGCATGATGGGCCGGCAGACCCGCGGTGGCATTAGGCACCGGGGAAGTAACAGGGTCAGAAATGACTGGATTCTGATCTTGGGTTAGGAGCTGCTGGTTCTCTAGAAGTGCCCACAGGCCAGTCCCTCTCTGGCCCTGGGTCTTTTGGATTAGTCTGGCCTTCGTTCTGCTTAGGCAAGTTTTACAGAGCTCTAATTCTGCCAATACGTGCCAAGAGGCACCCACTCTGCCAGCATGCCTCCTGCCCAAAGGTGCTCCTGCCTCTCGCTCTACAGGACAGGAAGGCCACTGTGCTGCCTACTGGTTCTGCTGCGGCCATTTCTCTGCCTGTCACACCTTCCTCCCCTCTCCTTAGTCTAGAGGCTCACAGCGCAGGGATCCCAGGTCCAAAGGGTGCGCTCCAGTCCTGTCCCTTTGGGTGGTCATCATTGTCCCCCTTCAACTCCTGGGGTGGCTCATTTTAAGCCTAGAGGGATGTCACACCGACCAGTGCCCTCTCATTGTCAGCCTCCCCATGTCATCATGTTGAGCCCCTTATTGCAGCCACTGTGCCAATCCTTCTTTTTTTTTTTTTTAACACTTAAAAACATTTTGTATTTTTTTTAATCTATTTATTGGGGGTGTCAATCCATCTTATCGAGGCTCTGATGCCCCCCCTGAGGTTTTCACTATCTGACAACGTTCCAGTGCCAGTGGCTGATTCCTCTGCAGTGGACAGGTCACTCCTCCTTCATAGTCTGTTCTTACTCTGGAAGCGCTGCTGAAAGCTGTCCACAGTGGGTGACCCTGCCGGCATCGGAAATAGCACTGCCCTAGCATCCGGCATCACAGCGACAGGCACGTGAGCCACCTGGAGAGACAGACGCGGCAGACAGACACGTGGTGGAATCCCCTCATTAGGGTTCCTCAGGTGCCTCACTTGCACGAGCTCAGTCCCACGGGCGTCGTGTTCCTTACTCGTATTGTTAGCAAGCTCTCCGACCCCAACCGCTCACTTGTGTCGTCCCTGTGGGAGTGACAGGACCCTGGGTGGAAGGTCCCGGGGAAGTAATCCCCTGTCCCACAGACCCCTGGCTCTGAGTCCCACCTGACCTTGTCCACGACCTTGTTCCATGCAGAACGTGAACTCCGTGAGGACAAAGCCTTTTTTTAAAAACGAGCTTTTTATTGTGCTGGAGGTGATGGTTGACGGAGCAAATCAGGAGTGTCACGTTCACTAACATGCTTGTATCCCCCCCCTCCCCCTGCCATTGCCATCCTCCTAGCGTTTCCTGTTGCCATGTCTCCTCCTTTCTCGACCCTCTGCCCTAGGGTCAGTGCTGCCCTAGTGACTGTCCCTGGCTGATTATACTACAGTAACACAAGGACCAGGTCAGTTCTAGACCCGAAAGGCGACAAGGGCCACAGTCCCAGGGAGGGCTACCAGACTACCTGACCAGTAAGCCTGGTCTCTGTTATGATTCTGACTTCTGGTCCACATTCCTGTCTCCCCCCCACCCCCCACCCCCCACCCCAACACACACACACATGCACACACGGTATCCAGGGCCTTCTAATCTAATGGAATCCCTTTCAGAGCCGTTGGCAGTGGTGGCCGGGCACCATCTAATTCTTCTGGCCTCAGGCTGTGGAGACGGATGTCCGTGTGGTCCATCCGTCCATGGGACGCATTGCTTCCACGTGGCTTTCGAATTTCTTCTTTCCTCTGGACAGGGAGAGACTGCTATTTTCACCTTAGGTGGCTGCTAGCGAGCATCTGAGACTTCAGCCTCCGCTTGCCAAAGGCGGGTGTGGACCATTGTCTCTGTGTGTGTATCCTCCAGACGATGGCCCGAGCCTCCAGGGCCAAGCAACTCCTTAAAGACAAGGGTTTGGGTCTGATTTTGTTGCTTTGTGTTTTCACTGCTGTATCCTGGCCAAGGGGCCCTGGTGGCACAAGAGCGTCAGAACATGGCTGGTAACCAACAGGTCAGCAGTTCAAACCCACCAGCCGTTCCATTGGAGAAAGGCAGTTTCCATTAAGGTTATGGCTTTGAAACCCTCCCTGGGGGATCACTATGAGGGCTTTGTGCCTAGGAGTGGCTTGCTGAAGGACTGCGAGGAGGTACGTGCTTGGGGTCGAGCCTTAGCTGCCCCCTCGCTGACCAGGTGAACCGGGCTGCTTTCTATTCCTGGGCTTCCTTCCGGAGGGTGGTGCCAGGCATCAGCTCAGGTGGAGCTCTCGGGCCGTCTGCAAGGCAGGCTAGGGCCCTGCTGAGTCTGTGTGTGGTCCACAGGCCACCTTCCACTACCGGACGCTGCACAGTGACCAGGAGGGCACCGTGCTGGATGACAGCCGGGCCTGCGGCAAGCCCATGGAGCTGATCATCGGCAAGAAGTTCAAGCTGCCCGTGTGGGAGACCATTGTGTGCACCATGCGCCCGGGAGAGATCGCCCAGTTCCTCTGCGATGTCAAGGTCTGTGCCCCGCCCTCCCCTGCACGCTGGCATCTGGCCTCTCTTCTGCCCTCTTCTGTCTGTTAGCCAGACTGCAGTCAGCATTCACCCTCAGTGCAGGTACAGCTGCCCTCACGCCCACCCTGCTTGTTGCCGGCCCCTGCTGTGCTTCCCTAAGTCCTCTACCCCTCGCCATTCCTCCCCATCCTCTTTCTTGGCCTAAATTCATGGTCCCTCCTGTTGGTCCCGCAACCCCTCATTCTCTCCCTGGCTCTGAGCCACTGCAGGGCAGGCCTGGCCTGGCTGACCTCTGTGTGCCCCCAGCAAACTCAGGAAAGGTCTGCTGTGTGCGTGGCAGAGAGCTGAGCACCTGGTCAGCTCCTGAATTCCCGGGCTGAGCGCGGTGGGGCATGGGCTTACTGCGGGGGTGGGGTGGGGGTGGGCCCCCAACCCCAGTGGCTGTCTCAAGAGGAAGGCCATAGCCTAGCCCACCCCCGGTGCCCTGGGTCCAATGCAGAACAGAATGTGGAGGTGCCCCGTTAAGGCAAAGAGCGCAGTTTGTGGACTGTGTTCCGGAGAGGTGAGGGGGCGGGACGGGGAGGTGGAAATTCTTCAGGCCAGAAAGGACACGGGCAGGGGCCCTGGTGGTACTGCCCGGTAAGTGGTGGACCACTGACTACAAGGTTGGCAGTTCAAACTCACCAGCTGCTCCTTGGGAGAAAGAGGAGGCTGTCTGCCCCTGTAACGATTTGCAGCCTTGGAAACCCTAGGTCGGGTCTTAGGAGTCAGGACTGACTCAGTGGTTTCATAAGGACGGGGAGACAGGAGGATGGTAGGAGCGTGACGCACTCTTAGGAGTGTGTTGTGTTATGTTGGTTGCCAACAGCAAAGTTTCTTTCTTGCCTGGGTGCAGCCAGGCTAAGGCAGAACAGGGCGGCAGCCCCGCGCGCAGGGCCTAGCGCCCTGTGCTTGTACAGAGGTGAGGGCTGGGTGGAAACCACAGTCTGGGGTCTTGGTGAAGCTCCAGATGGCCGTTTTTGCCCGTCATCGTGGTCCGCTGCTCCTTTGCTGTCGTCACTGCCCTCGGCTTGCTGGCTTCTGACAAAGGCACGTTCTTTGCTGCGTGTACAGAACCTTTTACAGGGTCAGCCTTGGGGCGGAACCTTATAGGGTGGGCTCAGAGGCAAACCTGGAGGAACTCTGGTTCTGAGCGGACTCTGTGAAGTCCCGCTGGGGGGCTCGGTGTGGCATTGCCCGTGGTGCTGCATTCATTCCGCGGGCATGTCGATTTCGTTTTCTTCGTGGTCATGTAACCCTGGGTCTTTTGACCTGGGTGCTACCTGCCAGGTGTCTGCAGCATTGAGTGTGATAGGGTGAGTACGTGAGTGTTGGCGCAGGAGTGTGAACTCATGGTGTATAACTCCACGTCTGATAGACTTGGTCTAAGAAGTGTGTGTGCATGAGTGTGAGCACATGTGTGTAAGAATGCACACGAGCAGCTTTGTGTAAGAGTTTGTGAGTGTGCATGAGCACGTGTGTGTAGGAGCATGTGTGACCATGTATGTAAGAATGTGTGAGTGAGGATGTGTGTGCTTGTGTGTGAGTATACATAGATGCATGTGTGTGAATGTGTGTGCACGAGTATGAGCACGTTTAAGAACCTGTATGAGCATGTGTGTAAGAATGTGAGTGAGAATGTGTGCTTGTGTACGAGTGTACATGGATACATGTGTGAGGATGTGAGTGTGTGCATGAGTATGAGCACATGTGTATTTGTGTGTAAGAATGTGTGAGTGAGGATGTGTGTGCTTGCGTGCAAGTGTACATGAATGCATGTGAGAATGAGTTTGCACGAGTGTGAGCACATAACATGTGTGAGCACGTGTGTATTTGTAAGGATGTGAGTGAGGATGTGTGTGCTTGTGTGTAAGTGTACATGGATGCATGTGAGAATGTGTGCACGAGTATGTGCACATAAAAGAACGTCTGAGAACATGAGTGTGTGAGTGTGTATGTCTGGATGTAGAGAGCATGGGGTTGGTACTCGCATGCTTTGTTGGCAGAAGCTGGCAGCTTCTGAAGAGGCTTGGTCTCCCTGGCACTCAGCTTGGGTGTCTCCTCCACAGTCGTGTTGGGGGCTTCCCGGAAGGGGCCCTGGGCCCTGGATGTTCCTCTCTGGGCCTCAGAGTCCTGTTCAGGCAGTGATGGGGAAGTGGGCTGGGCTTCTGGCTGGCGGTCAGCCACCAGCCCACAGCGACACAGCCCTGGTACCCCCTTGTCCCCCTGCAGCACGTGGTCCTGTACCCCCTGGTGGCCAAGAGTCTGCGCAACATCGCGGCGGGCAAGGACCCGCTGGAAGGGCAGCGGCACTGCTGTGGCATCGCCCAGATGCATGAGCACAGCTCGCTGGGCCATGCCGACCTCGACGCCTTGCAGCACAACCCCCAGCCCCTCATCTTCCACATCGAGATGCTGACGGTGAGAGCTGCCAGACCACCCAGGGGCCAGCCTCCCAGCAGGCCGGCCCTCTCCCCTTGGGCCCTTGGTCCGTACCTGTGTGGTTACCACCTTCACGGCCCTGCCCTCATCTGAGGCCACAGCCGGAGGTGTTCCCTCGTCAGTGGGAGTGGGCTGTTCCCAGGGCACCAGAGCTCTGTGGGCCAGTGCCAGGAATATAGCAGGTGTGGGCTGGTCAACTCGTGTCAGCAGACTGGTTGGCTCGAGAACGAGGGGCCCTGCCCCCAGGGGCTGCTGTGCTGACTTGGACGGCACCTCGGCAGGTGGAGAAACCCGGCGCCTACCAGCAGGACCCGTGGGCCATGACAGATGAGGAGAAGGCCAAAGCCGTGCCCATCATCCACCAGGAGGGCAACCAGCTGTACCGGGACGGGCACGTGAAGGAGGCCGCTGCCAAATACTACGACGCCATCGCCTGTCTCAAGAACCTGCAGATGAAGGTGCTGCCAGCCGGGAGGCCAGGGTGGGTGGGCAGAGGAGGCCCAGGGGCCCTGGACTCAATCCCGTCTCCCGTCCTGGGCCCCCAGGAACAGCCCGGGTCCCCCGACTGGATCGAGCTAGACCAGCAGATCACCCCGCTGTTGCTCAACTACTGCCAGTGCAAGCTGGTGGCTGAGGAGTACTACGAGGTGCTGGACCACTGCTCCTCCATCCTCAACAAGTACGAAGGTCAGCCGTGGGCCGGGCCGAGGAAGGGGGAGGAGGGCAGAGGGGGCACGCTCTCCATGGGTGCCTGGTGCCGGGCTCAGTGTGGCTGACTCCCTGCTCAGGCTGCCGCCTCCTGCCACTACTGCCCCCTGCAGACAACGTCAAGGCCTACTTCAAGCGCGGCAAGGCCCACGCGGCCGTGTGGAACGCCCAGGAGGCCCAGGCCGATTTCGCCAAAGTGCTGGAGCTGGACCCGGCCCTGGCGCCCGTCGTGAGTCGGGAGCTGCGGGCCCTGGAAGCCCGGCTCCGGCAGAAGGACAAGGAAGAGAAGGCCCGCTTCCGAGGCATCTTCTCCCACTGACAGGTCCCCGGCCTGTCCACTGCTGCCTCCGCCAGCTCTGCCCCCCACCTCTCTGTATAAAGGCCTTATTTATCTCCCCCAGTCTGCCGGCTGGTCCCTGGGGGAGCCGGGGGCAGCCGGGCAGGCGAAGGGCCAGGCTTTTAGTCCTAGCTCTCCGTTTCCCCGGTCAGGGCCAGAGTGATGCTTTTTACTGACGAAGAAGTGGGTCTCGCCGGCCAGCGTTGGGGTTCCTGGGGAGCCCCCCGTTCTGACTGGGGAGCTAGAGCTGGCACAAGCTAGGTGGCTAGGCTGGCTGGGGAGGTTTCCTAGCAGGCCAGGGATGTGAGCTATGTCCTGAAGAGCGCTGGGCAGAGGTAGCGTGTTTGGGTGACGTGGGGGTCCGGGGTCCAGACTGGGGAGGACTTCGGGGTCAGGTGGGGGTCCTGCCCGAGGCTGTCTCCCAAAGCATGGAGCAGCAGAGGACAGTGGTCTGGACAGCTGGCACTGGACAGAGGCAGGACTCCTGGCTGGGGAGCGGGTGGGGGTGAGAAGAGGTACCCTGGATGGGTGCTGTGGGAGGTCCAAGGCTGGGGGTAGGGCGCATTTGGAAGGTGGCCTTGGGGCCTGGGCCTTGTGGCAAGGCCATTAGGGAGGAGGAAGGTATGCTGAGGGAGGAAGGGGGTGGCAGGATTACACAACGGTGGGGCAGGACCCCCTCAGCAGGGAGGGCTGCTGAGTTCCACTGTGGCGGGAGAGGGGCCTGGGAGGGGGCCACTTGACATATCACCACCTGAATCACAGGGCCCAGGGCCTGCCTTTCAGTGAGATGCCCAGGTGACTCTTAGGGAGACTTGTAGAAAAATGGAAATGGGCTCAGTGTCTGTATCTGCCGTGGTCTAGGAAAGAGCTAATTCAAGGCCCTGGGTTGGGGCGAGGGAGCTGGTGCCTGAGTGGCCAGTGCAGCCCCCAGCTCCCCTCTGACTCCACTGTTCCCCTGGCCTGGGCTTCTTGGCAAGGGGTGATGGCGAAGTGCACATCCGACCTTGGAAGCCTGAGCCCTCTGTCCCTCTGTCCCCCTGGGTCCCCAACGAGCTGTTGGTTGCACTCGGCAGCCTGGGTTGCAGGTGGATGGGCACACCACAGGATGCAGGGGGTTTATTTTCAATGGTGACACACACTGGGAAGGCAATGGGCCCCGCCCACTCCCTCCCCCCCCCTCCCCCCAGGCCGGGTCCCCCACACGGAAAGGGAGTAACACTGATGGACTGGACAGATGGATGCAGGGGCCAGGCGGGCAGGGCGGGGCGGGGCAGGGCATGGTTGGAGACCACAGCCCTCAGCCTCCAGGCCCTGGTCCGTCGGGCCCTGGGGTATAAATGGGCAGCCTATCTGGCTAGGGCAGCCTCACTCCTCGCTGTCCATCTTCAGGCTGATGCTTCGGGCCTTGCCCCGAGCCAGGGTGGTGGGTGGCGTCCCCGGGCCCTCTCGCTCTGCCTGGCTGGGGCCCCGGGAACGCAGCAGCTGGCTCTGTTTGCGCAGGAAGTCCACCGGGGCGCCCACGCCGTAGCTGCTCTTGGCCAAGGCAGCCCTCGGGGGTCCCGGTGGGGCATGAGGGTGGGAACCTCCCTCCAGTTGGCCCAGGTGGGCCACGTAGCCATCAGAGAGGAACTGCAGGCAAAAGTGGGCAGGCGTGAGGGGACAAGTGACCTTGGGCTCACCCGCTGCCCCCACTTGACCTCCCTCGGCTTCTGAGGCAGGGTGGGACCGGAGGCAGGGACTGGGAGCCAGGGCTCCGAGCTGCTCTGACTGCTGGGCCTCAGTTTCCTCATCTGTAAAACGGGGGCGTGCATGCTTGTAGCTAACAGCAACTCAGTCTGTGGCCATCCCTGACCAGTGCCTTGAGCCACTTCTGACCACAGCCACCCTATGAACCCGGAACTGCCCTGTGGCTTTTAACGGGACGCCTTCTTGAGGAGCAGCTAACGTCCAAGGCTTAAACCATTTGGCTCTCGGGACAAGCTGAGGAGGCAGGGCAGGGGCCCTTACCTGGGAGAGGGGACCTTCTCCGAGAGGTCAGACGGCCACTGCAGCCAGCCCACTAGTTAATGCCCCACCGGTTGGGCTGCTTCTCAGTTCCCAGCTGCACAGACACCTGGTCCCCTGAGGTGTGGCCGAGGCACAGGGTCGTGGCCTCAGACCCCTCCCCTGCTCCCAGGGCCCTCACCTGGCACTGTGCCTGCAGCTTCCGCACGGCCCGGCCCACGATGTAGGTCTGGCTGGGAGGCAGGCCCAGCGCCGCGTACACAGCCACGTCTTTGGGGGACCCGTAGCCAGCCACGATGTTCAGCTCTACCTGTGGCCAGAGGTGACCTCTGTCGTCAGAGCCCAGGGAGACGGGGCCAGGGGGAGGGAATGGGAGCTAATGGGGCGTGGGGGTGGGGGTGTCTCCCTGTGGGCAGACGTCTGGGGCGGGACTAGTAGAGAGGGCGGGGCCACCTCGAGCTGGCCAGGCGGGTTCGGGGGGGCCCCCTCCACCTCTACCTCGCACCTCCTGCAGCAGGTTCTGTAAGAACATGGCCTTCTGGCGCAGCGGGTCGTGGGTGAGGCCATCACAGAAGGAGACCACGCCGTGGGGGAAGTTGTGCTGGGACAGCCAGGCCACCACACGGTGCTTCTGCATGTCCGGCCGGCCTGTCACGTACACGATCAGGTAGCCCGCATCCTGCCAGTGCCTGCGGGCGAGGCGGCGGTCAGGCGGGGCAGGCGGGGCTACACACGGGCCGGGGCTACACCAGGCGGCTCTTACCTGACCACATCCACGGCGCCAGCGCGCACCTTGGGGTCGCTGCCCATGATGGACACGCTGGCGGTGAAGGAGCCGTCGATGCTGAAGACCACGGCCTCTGTGCCGCGGGCCACCACCGTCAAGCAGCACTCGGCGTATGTGTGGTCACCCCTGTGGCCCACTGGGGCGTGAGCGAGGGCGTGGCCACAGCAGAGGCCCGCCCCCAAGCCTCGCCCCACGCTCACCTGACCACCATGCGCACAGGGTAGACCCCGATACCCAGGGCACGCTCTGGGGGTACCGGGAAGGCCAGGCGGCCAGAGCTGTTGGTGACCTCAGTGCCGAAGTGGATCCACTTGCCGGACAGCGGCTGCGTCATGACGTAGACGTCCACCTGGGGGGTGGGGCCAAGGGTGCTTCAGCTACCCTCAACTCAGGGTGGGTGTCTACCATGGGTCGGGCTGGGCAGGGCGCAACCTGCGGAACAGGAGCTGAGCAGGATGGGAGATGGACGGGGGCAAGGTGGTGGCGCCAATGGGGACAGACAGGCCTACAGGGGTGGCCGCAGGGCCCTGACCTTCTCTCCCGTGAGCGTGACTACGTCCAAGGGCCCATACATGAAGCGTCCATTCAGCACCTGAGAGCGACCCTCGCACACCACCGTGTCGTTTGCCCGGTGGTTGGAAGTGACATTCTGCAGGTAGAGAGGAGAAGGTGAGGCTGTGTGTCCAGGGGCCAAGAAAGGCCTGGCCAGGAGGTGTGGGACCTGGGGGCAGGGCCAGGTGTTAGGGGCGGGGCTTGACCAGCATGGGGCGGAGATGCACCCCGCTTTCAGGACCAAGGACCCAGGTCTAGTCACAAGGCACCCGTGCAGGTGGTGGGTAGTGACCGGAAGGGCAGGGCCTGGTGCTGGAAGCCAGGGCAGGCAGCGCGTACCCGGATCTTGACCTGCGTGCGTTTGCGCTGCCACTTCTCCCTGGGGAAGGCCGGGCTGTATATGGACGGCTCCTCGCACTCGGCCAACTGGGGTCTCTCCTTCTCGATCACCTGTGCGGGTCGGGGCGCGGCCACGTGAACCCGGGCTGGGGCTGCCCGCGCTCGCCCCTTCCCCCACCCCAGCCAGCCAGCCACCCTCCTGCCCGCTCACCTGGCGCAGGATGAAGGCCACTACATCGGCCGACTCCCAGTAGCTGGCGTGGAAGAGGTGAGGCAGCGTGATGGTGGGGAAGGCCGTGAGCGCCTCGGGGCAGTACAGCGAGTAGTCAATCCGCTTGGTCCCCCACCAGCGCTCCAGGACTGCACGGCCACGCGGGCAGTGAGGCAGGGGCTGCGGCCTGGGCGCCCCACCCCTCCTGCCCCTCAGCGTGGGGACCCCGGAGTGCCCCCACCCCGACAGACAGCACTGCCCCAGCTGGGCCAGCTGACTTACTCTTGACCACCTCACTGGTGGTGCTGGGGGCAGCTGGCTGGGCAGGAGGCTCAGTGCCCAACTCACTGCCCTTCCAGAAGGCACCACTGGCCGAGGTGGGCGTGGAGGGTACCATCATGTCCAGCTCCTCCAGAAACAGACTGGAGTTTGTCTGCAGCGTTTCAGCTGGGGAGGGGAGCAGGCTCAGCAGGCCCACCCTGGCTGGCCAGGCTGCCCTCCTGCCTCCCACCTCCTTCCTCCTCCCGGTCAGGGCTGGGGGTGAGGGGGTGAGGGGTGGAGAGCAGCCTCCTCGTAGCTCACCCCAGCAGCCAGCTGCATTTACACAAGTGCAATTGGGAACAGCACACCCCTGTACATGCACAGAAGCCCCCCATAGCAGCTTCACACCCCATAAACACACAGAACAGCCATGCCTATAGGAAACCCCTCCAAATAGCCACACACACACAGCAGCCCCCCAAACAGCCACACATATGCAACACCCACAGGAGCCCCACTAATAGCCACAGTACCCTGCGATCACATATATACAGTAGCACCCCAAACAGCCACACACACAGAGCAACACTCATAGCACCCCCAAGGGGCCACAAACATGTCCCCAGAAGCCACACACACACAGCAGTCTCCCAGACAGATAGACAGAAACACACACACAGTACACATGCACAGTGACATATAATCAGGCACCGCATATCAGTGACACCCAGCCTTTTCTCTTTAGCTCAGTCAGCCCCTGCACCCCATTCCTGGACATAGAATGCCAGAGGGAACTAGGGATCCAGATCCCTTAAGGGGCCAGGCTAGGGCTCCCTAGTCCTGGGTGTGTTGACCACGATGTTCCGGATGTGGGAACTCACTCATGCCCCTGCACGAGCGCCCCAGCCCTCCCTGCTTGTCTTGGTTGGGCATACCCAGCAGCAGGGAGGAGCCGTCTCCCAGGGGGAACTTCTGGTAGCGGGGAACAGCCAGCGGGGCGATGGCCTGGAACTTGGGGGCCAGCAGGGGCTCCAGACGGGAGGCGCAGGGGTCGGCGGCATGGAAGAGGTTGTAGATCTGCCTGCAGGCTGGGCGCATCTGGGCCACTGGGAACCCAGGAGACAGAGAAAGACATCCACTGTGGGCGTGGGGGTAGCACCCTGACATGCCCCTTCTGGTGGCCACTAGGGTCCCATGTGAAGTGGGGTCTTCTGGCCGTGGCTTCCTCAGACCTCATGGGCTGGGTGGTTCTGGCGTGGAGGACCCTGTCTCCCGCAGCACCCCCCCCCAAAAGGCTCCCCTGGGCAGCGGCCTTGGCAGTTCCCCTCTCCCTGGGCCTCAGTTTCCCCAACATTCACTCAATTGCCATCGAGTCGATTCTGAATGAAAGCAATCCTGTAGGACAGGGTAGAACTGTTTCTTGTGGGTGTCCAAGACCCTTAACTCTTTACGAGAGTAGAAAGCTCCATCAGCAGCCAGTGGTTTTGAACTACTGACCTATGGATCGTAGCTGAACATGTAACCACTATGTCACTGGGGTTCCTTGCCCTGTGCTAACCAGGCCATTCAGTTTGTATAGTGGGGATGGGGTGGGAGGGGTTGAGATGGGAGCTCAGATGCATGTGGCCTGGCAGGGGGCTCACCCCCCGCCCATACTCAGGGCTCACCCTCTAAGGCGGGCATCACAGTTTTGCGCAGAGCCAGCACCAGGCCCAGTGGGGAGCCAAAGAGGAAGAAGCTGGAGACCTTGAAGTCCAGGCGGGCTGCACTGGTGGGTCCGTCTGACACCTCGGAGCCAGCAGCTGGGGGGCAGGAGGCTGTACTGGTCCGCCAGGACTCTCCGGAGGGGGCCGAGGGGCCGGCCTGCAGGCTGTGGGGAGGGGCACTCAGTATGGCTGTCCATGCTCCCATCAAGAGAGCCTGGTGGGCTGATGGGGCAGGGAAGCCACCTGTTCTGGGTCCCTTCAGGCTCAGGATTGGCCATGTCGCCGGGGGTGCGCTGGGCAGGCAGGGCCGACGGTTCTGGGCTAGCCCGGCCCAGTCCGTCTGCCCCATCTGCCAGGGGGTCCCGCACTGGGCCGACCTCAGGGGAGAGCAGCTCGTTGTTCTAGAGGGAACAGGGTGAGCGAAGCAGTCTCAGGAGGCCTGGGGACCAGGTTCTGAGCTGGCAGTGAGAAAGGAGCAAGGCTGGGGAGTTGGGGAGAGCAGTAGCCCCCACTGACCAGGCTTCCTCGGCGGCTGCTGCTCCGGCTTCCCGTGGCTGCGTTGGCACTGTGGCAGAGCGCGTCGAAGCCCAGGATTCCGCCAACACCATCTCCAATCAGCACCACCTGGCGGGGGATGGGGTGGGGTGGGGGTGGCATCAAGAGGGGCCTTGTGGCCAGGGGCTGCCACAGAGGACAAGCAGGGCTCCCCCTCCCCCTGACCTGCCCGCAGAAGCCTGTGCCCTCGGGGCAGCGCAGGAAGGCGCTGTAGGCCTGGTTGGTGCGAGTGATGACAGTGGCCACGGCGCCCTGGTAGCGAGAGGACGAGGTGGCCAGCAGGGGCAGGGCGGCCAGAGGGATGTGGTCCTGGGAGCGGGATAGGCTGTCGCCGTCATGGCTGTAGGGGCTCAGGCTGTAAGGGGAGGGGGTAGATGGGTGAGGAGCCTCCAGCCCCTCCACTGCCCTTGGGTCCTCGTGGTCTGCTTAGGAAGTCTGTGGGCCTTGGTGGGGTGCTGCAGCACTGGGATGGGGGGAGGGCGGGGTCTCTGGCCTAGAAGTGAGTGATGGTCCAGGTAGCCCAAGAGCTCAGGTGTCTGGCTTCCCAGCCTCCTCCCCCACTCCCACCCTAGGATCCTAGGACCCCCCACCCCCCACTGGGTGGCTGTCCTCGTCTTGGGGACCCTAAGCGTTCCCTGCCCATCCCCTTGCTGGCCAATACTTGGAGACGAGGGCATAGGCGGCAGCACAGATGGCCGGGCAGGGCACCAGGCGAAGCGCCACATGGCCTAGGGCCTCCGGGAAGTGGATGCGGGTAACAGCTTCGAAGGCCACGCTGAGCGTCTGCACGTCGGCCTGCTTGGAATTGGCATCCCCGGGGCCCGAGTCTAGGATGTTGCCGCTGTGTAGGATGAGGAAGAGGGCGTGCACCGAGCAGGCCTCAGCCCCCAGGTCCCCGGTTCCGTCTGGGCCCTGCAGGGTGCCGTGGGCACAAGACGGGTCAGAGAGGACAGCCAGCGGCGACAGAACCCAGCTGGGGGAGGCATTTAGCTAAGCTAACCAGGGCCCTGGAGAGGATTTGGACAGACAGCGACTCCATGCGACAGAGTAGAACTGCCCCGTGGGGTTTCCGAGGGGGTCATCCATGTGGGAGCTGATCACCAGGTTTCTGCCGCTGGGCCAAAGGGTGAATTCAAACAGCCAACCTTTCTGTTAGCAGCTGAACGCCTCACTGCCGGCCCACCAGCACCAGCCAGACTCACCTCTGAGTCCCTGGCGCCTTGGGACCCGTCCTCCATGCCTTTAGTGGCCTCCATTCCAGGGTCTGCAGGGCAGGGGAGAGCCAGTGAGGGTGGACTGTGGGAGCCCTGGGGCACCTCTGCTCTAGTATCTGCCTGACTTGCCCTGGCCTGGTTCTGGTCTTTGCTCCTGTGGGGTTTGCTGTTAGGGTGGGACCTCGCCCCACAAAATCTTGCTTGCTCGGTACACTTCTAATCCCACCCAATCCAATATGGTAGCCGTCAGCCACCTCCTGCAGGAAAAAGATGTGGCGTCCATGAAGAGTCACAATCTCAGAAACCCACTAGGGTAGCTCTACCCTGTCCTATGGGGTCACTATGAGCCGGCATCAGTTTGGCGGCAGTGAGTGAGTGAGTGAGTGAGGAGTCACCTGTGGCTGCCAAGCTTTAAACGAATTCCCTGTGGGCCTGGCCACAGTTCGGGTGCTCGAGAGCCGCATCTGGCTAGGCCATCAGGTTGATTCCAAGTCATAGCAGGCCTGCAGAGCTGACAGCTCTGCAGGGTTTCTAATCATCACAGGTGCAATCAGCCCACCTTGCCTTCCTTCTGCAGGGCAGCTGATGCGCTTGGGCTGCCCACCTTTCATTATCCCCCCAATGCTTAACCCACTGGCTACCGTATTGGGCACACTGCAGATATTGGCCCATTTCATAGGCGTTCCTTTGGACGCGCTAGTCTAATCTTCGACACCCAGCTGAGCCATCACTGAAGATTTCCAGACGCCTAAGGAACACCTCCATCCTGCCTGCACCTGAGATGCGGCCCACCCATCCTCTCATCACCCATTCAGGGTCACTCTCTGGTCACCCTTCACGGTGACCCCCCGTGTCACAGAGCAGGTCACACAGAGGTGGTTTCCTCCATGGGCTGTGATCCTAACGTTGGTTGCGTTCAAACCGCCAACCTTCAGGTTGTACCCCAGTACGTGGGGACCATGTGTGCCTCTGAGGGATCCCTGGAGCCATCCCATGGTTGTTGGGCACCGTCAAGGTGATTCTGACCCACAGCAATCCACGTGATTGAGTAGAACGACCCCAAATGATTTTCTAGGCTGTGACGTCATAGGGGTATGTGCTGGGCTGCTAACCACAAGGTCAGCAGTTCAAACCCACCAGCTGCTCTGAGGGAGAAAGATGAGGCTTTCTACTCCCGATAGGAGTTACAGTTTCAGAAACTCACAGGGACAGTTCTTCCCTGTTCTGTAGGGCTGTTGTGAGCCGGAATTGGCACAGTGACAGTGACTTCTGGGGGACCCCATTAACTTTATGACTGAGCTGTTCCCTGAGTCCCCAGACCGCAGGAGAGGTGAGTCAGCATTTGCCGACTGACCTTGTCCCAGGGGCAGAATCCAGCCCTCCCACTGCGACCGGGCTGCTCCTGCCTTTTGGGGGCGCTCACCTGGAGCCCCCTCAGCCTCCGTGGGAGAGGCGAAGGCGTCGATGAAGTCGTTGGAATTCCACTTGGTCATCTCCTTGGGAAAGACCTCTTCACTGTCCGAGAAGCCTTCTGAGGGGACAAGGGACTGTGTCACTGTGGGAGGCGTTACCCAGGGGGCCCCCTCCTCCCCACCGCCTGCCCCAGGACCCAGGTGCTAACCGTGGGCATCAAAGAACTCCTCCTCAGAGCTATTCTCGGAGTCTCTGGCAATGTTCTGCATGCGCCACTCAGACAGGCTCTGGGGGGACACACCCCCTGCAGGGGCCACAGGCTCAGGAGGAGCCAAGCCGGCGGGGGTGCCTCCTCCCGGCCGTCTGGCCCCAGTCTCACCTCCATGCTGGGATGAGTAGGAGGAGCGGGAAGACGAGGACCACTGTTTGCCGAAGCTGGTGTCCGGCGAGGCGTCCGGGCCGGCAGCAGCCTCCGGCCTGTTGGGGGTGCTGGCTAGGCTGGCCCCTGGCCGGACCTCGGGGCCTGGCTTCCCGGGGGGCTGGGCCTCGGGCCCCTCACTGCCCGTGGTGCACTTGGCCATGCGCTGGGCCAGCATTCGGGCAGTCTCCTCCTCCAGGGCCCGGATGTCAGCCATGCTCAGCTCCGTCCACTCGTCCTGCCAGCACCAGGCCTGGCGGTGTGCTCGAAGCATCACCCGGCGCAGACCTGCAGGCCCCAGAGCCCGTGCCCCGGATCAGCCCGAGGGTCCCCTGGAAGACCCCAGGGAGCCCCACATGTAGGGCAGGGACAGGAGTGGGAGCTGGGACCGCTGTCTGCCGGCCCCACCTACCTCCCAGCCCTGTGCCTCTCTCCCCTTATGAGCACCCCAGCTCTGAGCCCTGACCCAACTACATCCCCCCAGCAGCCGGTCCTGTCAGCTGACTTCCTACCACTAACTTCCTCAAGGAGTCCACAGCTAATTAAGGCCTTAACAGTTAATGAAATTGTTGCCGGTTAATGAAGGTGTTAATAGTTAATGGAAGAATTGGCACTTCATGAAGGCCGCAGCGAAAGATGAGCCCTGTCCTGGGAGCTCTTCATCTAAGGCAGAGGAACAAAGTCACGAGGCATTACAGTAAGGATGCCCAGCAGACTGCAGAAGGAAGAGAGGAAACCGGTTGCACCGTGCTCGTTCCCACTCACGGCCCCATGGAGGTCAGAACAGGACTGTGCTCCGCAGGGGGTTCTGAAAAAGCCCTGGTGGCACCGCAGGTTACGCACCGCCATGCTAACCGCTAGTTCGGCGGGCTTACACCCACCAGCTGCTCCCTAGGAGACAGAAGAGGCTGTCTGCTGCTGTCCAGAGGAACAGTCTGGGAAACCCTACGGAACAGTTTCTAATCCTGCAGGGTCCCGAGATGAGTCAACTCGATCGAATTGTTCGGAAGTAGATCACCCTCAGGCCTTTCTTCCAAAGTGGCTGTGGTTGGACTTGACCTGCTAACCTTTGGGTTAGGAGCCATTCATTTAACCTTCTGTGCCGCCTAGGGAGTCCTCGCAGGACACACATCAGAAATTCGTATGGGATCGCGTGGGGGTCGAACGTGGGTGGTTCCAATTCTCTTTATCTGCATTGTCCATACAACGGGAACTTCCGCTGCAGGGTCGATGGGGAATGACTTGCCAATCCCCAGGGATCAGGATTTAGAACAGAGCCCAGAGCTCTTGACTCCCCAACCCAGGGGTCAGACCTGGAGGCAAGCAGGGGTGGTAGGGTGGCACCTAGACACCGGGTTGCTGAGACTCAGTCCTGCCCTACTCTGGAGTGATGGCGTCTTTCGATCTTCCCGGTCTGGACCTCGGAGATCAGCATTTCCAGGCTAGCTAGCTCCCCAATCCCAGACCAGGCTGTATTCCTCCCTCTGGCTCAGAACTTTCCACACCACAGGGAAATGGGGTGGGGGGGCTCTTTGCATGGGGGTCCCCTGAGGCCCGGCAGGTGCTCACCCACGTCATGGATGAACTGCTCAATCTTGGCCTGCATGCCCCAGTAGCGAAACTCCACCTTGCACAGCTTGTAGGCGCACATGAGGGGCCCCGTCTGCGCCGCTGTCCGAGCCCAGTCGTCAGCCAGCGGCCCCCGGCCCGTCTTGACAGAGTGGTACAGACGGGGGTCCTCCTCCACTTTGTACTCGCCTGGGCCCACTGCATCCCGGACGATGTCAATGGTGTCTGTGGGGTGAGGTGGGGGGGCAGGGGTGGGAGAGCAGGCACTTGAGTTAGTGCTTGGGTACAGAGCAGCCAGCCCCTCAAAGGCAGAGAAGAGTCCGGGACATCCCTAAGGGAGACTGCATGGAGACTGCAGGTGGCCTCCAGGGTCATCTCCCTCCACCCCCAACCAGGCCTCACCTAGGATGCGTTGACGCCTCTCAACCCCGCTCAGGTTGAAGACGTTGGGCTGCTGACCCCCATCAGGCAGGTAATAGGTCTCTATTTCAATGGAGAATTTCTCCACGAAGGGGCAGGTGTACCTAGACGGGGCAGGTGGGGAGGGTCACCGCTGTGGCTGCCAGAGCCACTCCCCAGGCGGTCACAGGCCCACGCCCACCCACCTCTCAGTGGGCTCTCACCGGGTTCGGGTGTAGGGATACGCGTTCCAGGATTCCTCCTCCACCTGCAGGGCAGCCTTGGGGAGCAGTGCCCGGAACCAGCCAGGGATATGGGAGCCAACGTGGTACACTTTGTGCGTGTACTGTCCACTGCCGCCGGGCCCATCTGTGTAGGGCCGGTTGGCCAGAATCTCCACGCCGCTGCCCTCACCGCTTGATTCCTCTCGGCTCTTCTTCTGCAGAGAGGAACACGGGGCTCCAGCTGGGAGCAAAGGCCTTCCTCTCTCTGCCTCTGGGACCCCCACCTTGGTCGGCCTGGCCTCCACGCAGCTCTCAGGGGCCTCGTCCCAGCCCTTCCAACCCCCGGAAACCTCACGAGGCCCCCTCAGCTCCTGGAGGTCAGTATCATAACAGTCCCCATCCAGTCCCCCATAGGAGGTAAACATGTACTGAGCACCTACTGCACGCCCTGAAGGAGCCCTGGTGGCACAGTGGTTATGCGTTGGGCTGCTAAGGGTATGGACAGCAGTTCGAAACCACCAACCGCTCCATGGAAGACAGGTGAGGCTTTCTACTCCCATCAAGAGTTACAGCTTTGGAAACCCATGAGGGCAGACCCTGTTCTTTAGGGTCACTATGAGTGGATATTGACTCGATGGCAGAGTTGTGTTTGTTTATATGTGGGGATTATATTGAGTGGGATAGATCAAAGAGCACCACAAAGATCTAAGCTGTGGTGCAACTCTCATTCGAGCAGGGCCAGTGTGGCAAACTAAGCACGCTGGTGGCGCAGCGGTTAAGCACTGGGCAGGGTTAAACTTTACACTGAAAGGTTGGCGGTCTGAACCCATTGGCCTGTCCCAGGGGACAGGCCTCTCTACTTCCACAGAGAGTCAAGATGAGAGCCCGGGGAACCCTGTGGGCCAGTTCTCTGTCCTAAAGGGTCACTGTGAGTCGAAATCAACTCACATCACGCCAGTGGGTTTGGGGTTTATGGGCTGTTATAGGGTGAAGATGTGGCAGTTTGAATCTGATGGTCAGGGCAGACCTGGTTGAGAAGAGATAGGACCCAACCCTGGAAGGCTAATGCAGGAAGAGCCATGGCTAGGGGCCAGGGTGGGCCTGAGTGCCTGGCTTGGGCGAGAAAGAGGCCCCTGCTTGGCCCAGAGGGGGACGGTAGTGACATGGAGGCCAGTGGGTTGGGAAGGGAGAACTGGGCCAGTGATGAGAGGATGGGTGCCACCTGAGGACCTGACCCTGGCCCTGTCCCAGACCCCAAACCCCATCTCCTGCATCCTCCCAGGGGGCTACCCTTGTGGGTTAGTCTCTGAAGCCCCACTTGACCCACTCCCCTCCCTGAGACCTGCCCCAGCTCCTTTCCCAGACACTGTCACCCCTTTGGGGATCCCTGCCCATCCCCCCATCCCCCCACCAGCTTTGGGGTCTGACACTCTTCTCATTTCCTTAACCTTTGCCCCGGCAAGGACCCTGGCCCCTCTCTAGCCCCTCCCCGCTTCTGCCTCTTGCCTTCCCTGCATCTCCTTGCTTGGGGCCTTCCTTGCCCCCCTCGGATCTTCTAAGGATTAAAGGGGGTCACGCGCGCGTGGGCTGAGCACATGGGGGCGGGAGGGGCACATCCAGAGCCCTGCCAGGCCACAGGCGGGTAGCTCGGGTGGCCCCAGGTGCCGAGCCCGGATGGCGACCAGCCTGTGCGCTCTGGCTGCGGTGTCCTCTCTGGCCCTCACCTGGATCATGTAGAGCTGGGCCACCTGGTACTCGTCCAAGCTCATGGGCAGCAGGATGCGGTACTCCTTGATGAGCATCCTCGGCGCTGGGCCCGCGGCCTCCGCTCCGCCTGGCGCGGACACGGCCCTCAGTTGGGG